ATATATATATATATATATATATATATATATATTTTTTTATATATATATATATATATATATATATATATATATATATATATATATATATATATATATATATATATATATATATATATATATATATATATATATATATATATATATATATATATATATATATATATATATATTTATTTATTTTTTTTTTTTTTTAGCAAACAAAAAAAAGCAAGAAAGAATAAAAATGTCCCTGACTGCAGAGCTTTTGAGTGATACCGTGTATAATGTTACAAAAACATTTAGGGCCTACTCACACTATGCCATCCGTACCGTGCCCAGGCCCGTTTCCCGGATCGTTTGAGAAGTGTGAGTGCGCTGAATCGGGCTCAAGCACGGTTCACTTGGCCGGCCCTGGCCCGGTTGGAAGAGGTGTGCCTAAGCGCGGTTCACTTGGGCTTTGGCGCGGTACGCTTGTGTGTGAGTGCAAAATGCGCCAAAGCCCGAAACTGAAGCGATACGTGACTTTTAAGGCACTGTTTCATATGGATTTATTAATCATTCTTACTGTTCAGTGAACGCAAACTGCCGTAGTTTATTAAAGACGCAAACCCCTCACTGCACCACAGCTGCGCGCCTTCAGCAGACCTCCTCATTCCTGCAGCACGAAAGCTTTATGATTGTTTATGAGCGCCAAAAGTGGCGGATCTGTCCGGTAAAATATCTGACTGTGTGTCCCCGCATCCCTAAGGACTGTTTGGCGAAATATTTGACTGCATGACAAACGACTGAAACGATATAACTAGAGAAATCTCCACTGTGCTGCTGAGTGAGAGCGTATGGCAAGCCGTTTTAGCATTTAAACCATGTTCAGACTATCCATAAATATATTTAGAGATATCTCTAATTATATTTTGACTAGTCATAATTATAATTCGACTAGTCAGATTGGAGATATCTGCAAATATATTATATATATTATATTATATTCCTCCATTGACTTCCATTGAAAAATATTTGCAGATATCTCTAAATAAGTTTTGACTAGTCACAATTGTAATTAGAGATATCTCTAAATGAATTTTGACTAGTCAAAAATCCAATTCAAGATATCTACAACTGTAATTCGACTATTAGTAAACTAATTAGAGATATCTTCAAATATATTTGTAAATATCTAAAATATGATGAATTAAAGACATCTCCAAATGTAATATGTCTAGTAAAAACTCAGAGATATCTCTAATTACAATTGTTACTAGTCAAAATTCATCTGATTTCGTACTAGTACAATTGTAATTGCAGATATCTCTATTGGAAGTATTGGAATTATAATTATGACTAGTCAAAATATAATTAGAGATATCTCTAATATATTTATGGAGTCAGAACAAAGATTTAAATGCTAAAAAGGCTTGCCATGGAGAGCGCTTCTCACTGAACTGAGCAGCAGCGATGACGTGAGCGTGCCGAGGCCCGATATGGTGTGAGCGCGGGCCGTCGGGGGAGACGGGAGGGGGGACAAGCTTGCTTTGGCCCGGTTCGAGGCAACTGTATCTAGTGTGAGTACAGCCTTAGATAAATGCTGACATCAAGAAATCGTCAAGAAATTGCTCGACTGTTAATAAATATTGATGATACTACTACTACTACTGATTCATTCATTCATTCATTTCCTTTTCGGCTTAGTCCCTTTATTAATCCGGGGTCGACACAGCAGAATGAACCGCCAACTTATGCAGCACGTTTTTACACAGCGGATGTCCTTCCAGCCGCAACCCATCTCTGGGAAACATCCCCACACACTCATTCACACTCATACACTACAGACAATTTAGCCTACCCAATACACCTGTACAGCATGTCTTTGGACTGTGGGAGAACCACCCGGAGGAAACCCACACAAACACAGGGAGAACATGCAAACTCACTACTACTATAATTACAACAACAAGCTAAGCATATTACTGATTTCTGAATGATCATGTGACAGCAGTGATGATGCTAAAAATTTTGAAATCACAAAAATAAATGACATTTTACAATCTATAATAATAATAATTCCTTACATTTATATAGCACTTTTCTGGACACTCAAAGCGCTTTATGCCGTTTTGAAGGGGATGTCTTCATCCACCACCAGTGTGCAGCATCCACCAGGATGACATAATGGCAGCCATATTGCATCAGACCGCACATGTAACCCCGCCGATCCTACACCACCCAACCCGCTCCAAGCTGGTTTCAAACCAGCGACCTTCCGCATGGGAGTCGGTTGCTCTACCAAGGAGGCTAAAGACCCTGGCCTGCACAGCACTGACTAGCTGGCCTCTGCTAGACTCAACCCCCTAAACCTCACTCCCATCCAGGTCACAGCACCAATGTAACCCCTCCGGTTCTACGTCACCCAACCCAATCCGAGCTGGTATCGAACCGGTGACCTTCCACATGGGAGTCGGTTGCTCTAACAAGGAGGCTATAGACCATGACCTCTAGCGTCTGTCGCTAGAGCACCTTTAGAGGTCAGAGGAGTGAGGTTTACCTGCACAGCACTCCACTAACTGGTCTCTGCTACACACACCAGCTGATTGGTGGAGAGGAGACCAATTATGATATGTGGAGGGTTAGGAGGCCATGATGGACAGAGGCCAGTTGGCAGATTTGGCCAGGATACTGGGGTTAAACTCCTACTCTTTTTCTAAGGACATCCTGGGATTTTTAACAACCACAGAGAGTCAGGACCTCGGTTTAACGTCTCATCCGAAAGACGGCACTCACTGAGCAGTATCAGTCCCTACTGAGTCCCCATCAATATACAGAGGCATTTAGGACCCACACAGACCGCAGGTTGAGCACCCCCTGCTGGTCTCACTTACCTCCCTTTCCAGCAGCAATCTAGCTTTCCTGTTTCCTTTTCTTTTTCTGTACTTTGGATCAAACCAATGCAGGCCTGGTGAGCAGAAGAGACTGATTTAAACATCTTTCTGTGTGTTCATTCTGTGTGTTTTTCTGTTTCTGCAGTGGATCTCTGCAGCAGGCGAGACGCTGACTGTAAGTTCACATAATACATAACAATAATGATTATTGATTGCTTTCAGGTGTCATACAGTCAGTCTGTCGTGTTTGTTTTAGGTGTCTGTTTATTACCCGTCTGGCTACATTTGGGTCAGTCCATACCAGGTATATGTGAGCAGAACGACTCTGTTTTCTCGGTCATTGCTTTGTGTTTACACCCTTATATTGACTGGGATTTCTTTTACAGGCGATCCCGGTTCTGACACACTATGTAAGTGATTCTGAGTGAATGAATATCTGTAAATTAGCAGTTTTCTGCATTCGTGACTGATTTTGAATCGCATTATTAGGGCTTGTTTCTTCAAACAACTTTTAACCTTGAAAAGTTTGGAAAGTGACATTTCATGAACATTTTTAATAGTCTACTGTGCTGTATTGTGTGTGTTGGTGTTGTATATTACACTACAAAATTCTTGTTATAAACTGCCAGCACATTTTCTGTATTTTACACACTTATTTATCTGTATACATTATTTCTTTTTTCTTCTTTTTATTGATTTTTCCTTTTTATAAATAATGCAGATGAATATCCAATACAGAGCATTAGCATAAACGCAGAACAATACAACATAAATAAATACAATAAACAAATAACACCATTTCAGTTGCAAAAGTAAACCAAACCAGAACACACACAAGAAGAAAAAAAAATAAAATAAAAGGAGAGAAATAAAAAATAAATAAATAAGTAAAAAGAGAGAAATAAAAAAATAAAATAAATAAAAGAAAAGAAATAAAAAATTTAAATAAATAAATAAAAGGAGAGAAATAAAAAAATAAAAATAAATAAATAAATGGAGAGAAATAAAAAAATAAAAAAATAAATAAAAGGAGAGAAATAAAAAACTAAATGAAAGGAGAGAAATAAAAAATTTAAATAAATAAACATAAGGAGAGAAATAAAAAAAATAAGTAAAAGGAGAGAAATTAAAAAATTAAAATAAATAAATAAAAGCAGAGAAATATAAAAATTAAAATAAATAAATAAAAGGAGAGAAATAAAAAACTAAATGAAAGGAGAGAAATAAAATATTAAAATAAATAAACATAAGGAGAGAAATAAAAAAAATAAATAAATAAATAAAAGGAGAGAAATAAAAAATAAAAATAAATAAACACACAGAGAAATAAAAAAATATATAAATAAATAAAAGGAGAGAATTAAAAAAACAATAAATTAATAAAAGGAGAGAAAAAATAAATAAATAAAAAAAGGAGAGAAATAAAAAATAAAAATAAATAAATAAAAGGAGAGACATAAAAAACAATAAATTAATAAAAGGAGAGAAATAAAAAAAATAATAAATAAAAGGAGAGAAATAAAAAATTAAAATAAATAAATAAAAGGAGAGAAATAAACAAATAAAAATAAATAAATAAAAGGAGAGAAAAAAACAATAAATAAATAAAAGGAGAGAAATAAAATAAAAATAAATAAATAAAAGTAGAGAACTAAAAAAAACAATAAATAAATAAATGGAGAGAAATAAAAAAAAGGGGGGGGTTGCTAATATCTTAACCTTAATTATTATTTTGTCTCGTTACATGTTTACTAACATTGTGGGTCACAGAAATTTAGAAGTTTTCCCCATTTATCAAAATAAATTTCAGTTCTTCCATGTTAACTATAGGTGTTTTTCATAGGCTGCAACTCGTCCTTACTCTGAGATCCACTCGAAGATCAGAGGCCTAGTGGAGGATTTCCAGTTTTTAACAATCACCAGTCTGCCTTATCTCTATATATTATTTCTTATATATTTTATTATTTCAAATTAATAAAACGTCATTAAGTATCATTTTGTTACACCGTAGAGTTGAATTTTGTGTGTATATCAGTGCTATGAATGCATCTTAAGCCATGCATCTTAAGTGATTTCAGTTTAAAATGTTAAATACTTTTTCCTCACAGAACACATCAATCCACTTATTAATACATGCGTTAACAACCCTAAGAGAGTATGGATTAGTTTACGATGGATTTATGCAATTTTGGAAATTTCAAAATAAAAGCCACTTTCCAACAGCATTATACAGCCTGAAAGAATCAGGATCAAATTTAATAATAGTCTGACTGTGATTGTCTGACAGAAGAAAAATTTTTTCCTCTGAGGATGGCTTTAATTATGGGGTAATTAACCTTTTTGGGTGAGCTATTCCTTTAAAGGGGTAAAGACATACCTAGGTTTTGATCCTAGTTGTGGTGTTTTGGTGACTGTCGCTTTAAATTTAAATGAGATTGTGGGCGGAGCTAGAAATGCCTCTGTGTCTGTAAATGCCTACATAATGGCAGATTCAAAAACAAGACTGACGTCCTATGCTAATGAGGGAGTGATGGTCAAAAGTGGGCGGGGCTTTCCCCTTCTGGAGACACGTACAAAGGGAGAATGTCAATCAAAGTGTTTCTGCTGAAAGTTTTATTATGTCTGATTATAATTAATACAATAAACACATGTTGAACATTAGAATCTAGTTATGTTTACAGACTGCTGACACACAACAGGGTTTAAACCCCTTATAAAAGTGATTTTTGCATAATTGCTGCCCTTTAATTTAGTTTTACAGCTTCTCAATAATAACATTTTTGTGCTTTTCAGGTTATTCCAGTGCCTCTTAAAACAACTGGATCTGAGAGGACAACAACTCCAAGACCATTCCTGACCACCACACAAAAACCGGCCCCACCAGGCCCTGTGACCTCTGAACTTCCCACTGTGACCCCAGCCACGCCCACTGTGAGCCCGCCAGGCCCAGTGTCTACAGCCACGCCCACTGTGAGCCCAGCAGGCCCTGTGTCTACAGCCACGCCCACTGTGAGGCCACCGGGTCCTGTAATTACAGCCACGCCCAATGTGACCTCTGAGCCTCCCACCACAGCAACCCGGCGAGGAGACAACTGAGGTGTCGCTAACATTTTCAGACAAAAATGGGAAACTTTTGTTTTGCATGTTCGTGTACACCATAACGAAATGCATAAGAAGAAAATGCATAAAATAAAAGTGGAAAAATGTTACAAAATTCCTTTGTTTTTTTGTGTCCTTGTAAACTAAACACCTGAAAGTCTTAATGACATCACATTTTAAATAAAACATTAATAGATGGACATGGACAGATTGTTTTTGTGTAAAAGTTAATATTTTTATAAAGGACACATGATAAAAATCATCATTTGAAAGCTGTTTGGACAGAGCTGAGTGCAGGTATAGTGTGTCCACGGTCATTTTGGAGTGATATAAACACAAAGGGCTCTATTTTGACGGTCCATGCGCAGAGCGCAAAACGCAGGGCGCAAACGCTTTCAGGGCGTGTCAGGACGCATTTTTGCTAATTTAAGGACGGGAAATCTGCCTTGCGCTGTGGCGCATGTTCTAAAAGGGTTGAGTTTATTTTCTTAATGAGTTATAGGTGTGTTTTGAGAATAAACCAATCAGAGTCTCATCTCCCATTCCCTTTAAGAGTCAGCTGCGTCACGCCAAGAGCGCATTCACTATTTACAGGAAGCAAAGTAAGTCTAAGTGGAAAAACTGAGCATTTCACAAGCAAACAGTTCACAGAAAACTGTTAAACAGAGCATCTCCTGCGTGACAATGAGAGATAATGGATCTACTTTCACTTTCGCTCTTGGATAGGGAAACCTTTACGCACAGACATCAATTAGTCTATAAATAATTAATTGCGTTTGTTAAGCGCAAATATTCGTTTCAAAACTATTTCTAAATTCAGTTCTAATTTCCAGCAAACGAATAAATGAACAATAATAACAAAATGTGCTCAAAAACCTGAGTTCTATCCTAAAACACATGCTGTGCCCCATATGGTCTAAAACCTGACAGGTGGACAAATCTAAGCTTGTTTTTAATAAAACAAATATAAATATGGATATAATAAATAATACTGCTAATAATAATAACATTATACAGAAGCAAAATGAATGAACTGAAAAAGCCTCCTGAGATGAAGAAGACATAAAAGCAGTGGTTTTTCATATTTATGTAGGCTAGAAAATAATATGTTTTGTAATATTTTAATCCTTTATATTTATATTCTATATCTATTCTTATTATATCCTATATATATCCCTAATATTTACATTTTTCATATGTAAAGATATTTGCCTATTGCTCTCTTGTGTGTATTAAGCAGTGTGTAAACAAATTGCGCTGGAGTTTAGACCGGGTTTGTTTTGGTCTATTGAAAAATCTATTTTAGTTTCTCAAAATAGCAACGCACCAGCGGTCCACCTCAGAACGCCTTCCTTTATAGACCAGCATGATATGGGTGCACATATGTGCGCTAATGCATTTGCTATTTAAACAGCGTAGCGCAACGCCTCAAAACCACTCTTGCGCCAAGCTGAAACTACCAAACAAGTATTGCGTCGCGCCTTGCGCCACATTGCGCCGGGTGTATGATAGGGCCCAATAAGTCTCTTTTTCTTTTTTAAATCTCCTGATGTTAAAATAGGATCTAAATCCCTTCGATTTTGAGGCCCACCGCATCGTGACGTAGGAGTGCGGTTTCCCCGCCCAATGATTTGATTGACAGCCGCGTATCAACATGTCTCTATAGCAAAGCGTATAATCATATCAACAAGACAGGACGTGCGCAAATAAGCAGCCGGGATTAAAAGATCTGTTCAGCTCTCTGTGATCATCAATCATCATCAAATAAGTTCAAGAATGAGTTTTACAAAATTAAAATGTTTTAAAACAATGCATGGTAATAAATTACAGTGATTTACTTTAGCTTTACTTCATCACCACAGCCAAGTGTCAGTACAATTATAAAATTCATGCTCGTGACTTCCAGTGGCATTTTTTGCTGTCCTGACAAACGTAAGAACTTGACGTGCCTGTCTGACTTTAATTTGACCGGCCTTTCAAACACTCCTACAAGGTATTTTACTTCCCTTCCCTTTAATTCTGCCTTTTTAAGTTTCTCTCGCATCGGTTTCGCCTCCATTTCTGCTTTCACATATGTGTTTAAAAAAATAAAAAGCAAAAATCATTAATAATTAAACTCATCCACGCAATAAATCATAATATATCTTTTCATTCCCCAATCCGCCCAACCCACAGATTATCCGCAGCGTCTGTGGATATAACCGTCATCCGCGTATCACTAATCCATACAGAAGTGGATATTAACATGTATCCTGTCACATTTGCCGTGCAAAGCTGTCTGTGCGTGAGTCCACTGTGTGCGAACTTTGTAATGACATTGTTTGTGACTCATCGAAAGGCTTGAATTAACTCCACAACAAATACATCAAATAATCATTGGGAAAGTTCTTACTGTAGTAATTCTCACAGACGTTACGTGAGATCTGCTTCCTTCATGTCTGTCACTGTGCTGTTTATCTGACGCAGGCACACACTGACAGGCACAGGAGAACAGTAGGTGGGGAGAACCAGAATTAAAGGCACAGCAACAAAAAGAGCTAAAGTGTGTTTAAAGGAGGAAATTCCAATATTTAGAAAGCTATAATATAAAATCTGATGGGTGCTTTGAGCTGAAACTTTACAGACACACTCTGGAGACATATATAAAATATAGAAAAAGGGGTAAAATAGGTGCCCTTTCCAATGCAATGCTTTTCAGTTTTTGGCTACATCATTGTCTTATAATATAAACATAACCAGTGTGTGTGTCTGTCTGTTCACGTACACTGGAATGTGTGCTTGGTTTAAAAAAAGGCATCTGCACCAATAAACAGCAAAGAAAATAACATCATTGCTCAATGCTGTGGCTGTCTTAATCATTCACTGCATGGCATTGGGTAATTAAAGCCTACCAGTGCAGACATGTTGAACGGCACACTTCTAAGGCACCTAACCTATCTGTTTAATCATCATATATTATTGTCTGACATGCTCATGTAAATAGCTGGAAGGGATTATAGACTACTAAAACTCAACACTTGTATTTTTCAGTAGTGCTTTTACAAGATGTAAAATAAGCCTCTGATGTGCCTGACCCCACTGGTCCTACAACACCCAACCCGCTCTGAGCTGGGATCAAACCGGCGACCCTTCGCATGGCAGATGGGTGCTCTAACAAGGAGGCTAAAAGACATGATCTCTAGTGCCTGTCGCTAGAGCACCTTTAAAGGTTAGAGAAGTGAGGTTTACCCGCACAGCACTTCACTAGCTGGTATTTGTTACACTCAACCCTCTAAACCTCACTCCCATCCGGGTCAAAACACCAATACAACCCCACTGGTCTCACACCAGCCAACCCGCTCTGAGGTGGGATCAAACCGGCGACCTTCCGCATTGGAAGTCAGTTGCTCTAACAAGGAGGCTAAAGACAATGGCCTCCAGTGTCTGTTGCTAGAGCACCTTTAAAGGTCAGAGGAGTGAGGTTTACCTGCATAGCACTTCACTATCTGGCCTCCGTTACACTCACCCTCTAAACCTCACTTCCATCTGGGTCACGGCACCAATATAACCCCACTGGCCTTACACCAGCCAACCTGCTCTGAGCTGGAATCAAACCGGCAAACTTCCGCATTGGAGTCGGTTGCTCTAACAAGGAGGCTAAAGACCATGGCCTCTAGCCAGGGGTGTAGCAACTGGGGTGGACAGGGGATACGTAACTTTCACTTTTAGAGACAGACCATTTAGAAACAGGTGATTAATAATAAAAATGAATTTAAAATTTTGAATTCAATCCCTGTCCAACCCCCTTTTAAAATACGCCCGTCGCTAGAGCACCTTAACGCCCCATTCATAAGGGGCGTCAGCGTCAACGCTGTGGGGGAAACCAGAGCACCTAAAGGAAATCCACACGAACGCAGGGAGAACATGCAAACTCCACACAGAAACGCCAACTGACCCAGCCGAGGCTCGAACCAGCAACCTTCTTGCTGTGAGGCGAAAACACTACCTATTGCACCACTGCGTCGCCAAATAAAAATACTTTCTTATTTTAATTTTTACATGCTTTAATAACCTCACTAATTTTACAAAATAAGTGGTCCTGTTTCTCACTTGTAACACAAGTCTGTTAAAGTAATGCTATTAAAATCCTGTGATTGCTTGGAAAACGTTCTATTCACGAGTGTAAGTTTACAGCATCTAAACCAGAGATGCCCAATAGGGTCAATTGTAACCTTTGATTCGGCCCGCCGTCTCATCAGAGAGGAGAGTGAGAATGTTGGAGAGGGTTGGGGCGAATGCCTTTACCACATAGATCGTCATTTCTAATTTGACATACATTTTTGTTCGTTTTATTGCTTTGTATTTATTATATTTAGAGCAAACTGAAGTTAAATGTTTCAATTAAGTGTTGTTATTTTATTTAAAAATGTAAATACTGTGTCACTTGACAAATAGAGGACTATGCAGAAGACATCAGCAGGCAAATCAAGGCAAAAGCGCTGTTATAAACTGTATATTTTACTGTAATGTTCATTATTTTTGTCAAACAATACTGTATTAGTTAATATAACACAATGTTTTCTAGTCATTGCTAAACATTGTAAAATAAATTGGGAAATTAGCCATGGCTACTCTATTTACATTCAGCCCACTAGCCTCAATCAGGTTGGGATTTTGGCCCTTCATAAGAAAATGTTTGGGCGCCCCTGATCTAAACCAATCTTGAATCATCTGTAAACTAAGGCATGTTTAGATAAGGTATCCCACCCCAGTATTTGTTTATTTATTTTCGGTTTATTAGTGATGTATTACATTTGTGATTAACGTTATTATTATAAATGCATCGTGACATGTTCTTATTCACTGTAATAGTTTGTAATTTAACAACAAATCATAAATTCAACCGTTAAATTAGAGAAATGTTAATAAAAAAAAACTAAATAAATTCTCCGTTGCGCGTGAATGACGCGTTTTTAACGTGCCCGCGGCGGGAAGTCGCGTTCTTCTGCGTCACGGGCGTGTGTGTGCGCGCGCGCGTGAGCGAGCTGAGAGCGGTGGACGCGCGCACGTCGGCGTCTATTTGTGCATTTCGGTTCGGCGGGTGTCGGACGTTTACAACAGGTAAAGCAGGAGTCGGTCAGTCGTCCCTCGCCCCGGTGTGTGCGGAGAAGCGTGCGGAGAGAGCGGCAGCGCGGCGGTTAGCAGCTCCGTCACAGCAGGTCAGCTTCTCCGCGGTT